TATAATTTTACTTACCAAAATAAAAGTGGAGACTCCTTGGACGCTCTATTAGTGCAATTAATGCCACAGCAAGTCATTTTGTCCAACAATTGCACTAAAAATATCCAAAAAAGAATACACAAACACAGAGACTCAAAATCCCAGAACAGTTTCCAAGCCAGACCAAGGCTCTACTGAGGTCTTTCCCCGGAGCTAGCTCTGTGTTCACGTGGGTCTGATGCTCATTAATTATACAGAATTTTAGGCTTTTAATACACTTAAACAGAAGAGTGAGAAAAAAATTTGCACCCTCAGAGTTGTCATGAGTGTAAACTAGATCATTTAAACCAAAAACATGTTTAGGAACCAGGCTGTAAACATGTTTATTTCTGCTGTGAAATTGGTATTTTTAACATGGGAGTCAATGAGGATTTGCTCGCTTCTGACACCAGCCCCTAGTGGATGAGGGTGGAACTGCTATTTTTGGTACTTCCGGGTTGGGCCCAATTTTAGAGCCGCATTGCGGGGGCTTGGTTTGAACAAAGGTAGCTCAGTGGTTCTTTGTGCTAGACATTAGAACATGCAGTACCCATGTGTGTGTGTTATAAATGATTTGGACTCCCACCACATCATCACAGATTAATTCAAACACAAAGGGGTATGGCGCCTATCCCAGTACCGGGTGAGTTGTTACACCAATGGGGAGGGGATGGAAAGATTAAATTATGCTTAAAAAACAATAAATGTATGGAAACACTTTCATGAATAACAAAGACGGGGCCATAAACTCGGGATACAACAAAAATAAATCAAGAATACCATACCATACCACCTTTATTTATGTAGCACTTTAAAAACACAGCCATACGGCCGACCAAAGTGCTGAACAGTCACACAATAACAGAGATAAAAACATAGAACAGAGCAATAAAATACAGTTAACAGATAAGAAACAAGTCAATAAAAAGTTCAGATAAAAACCTCACAATAGTTCCGATAAAAAACATTTACAATGGATGAAAAAATAAGAGTAGTAAAAACCAAAATAACAGCTAGCTGTTAAAAGCAAGGGTAAAATAGTGTGTCTTTAGTCTAGACTTAAAAACTGCCAAGGAAGATGCCAGTCGAACTGCGGCTGGAAGTTCGTTCCACATTTTAGGACCGGCAACAGAGAAAGCTCTTTGTCCGCATGATTTATAACACGCTTTTGGTACCTCGAGGAGCAACAGGCTGGAGGACCTGAGTGTGCGACCGGGAGTATAAATCGCAAGAAGATCAGAGAGGTACACGGGGGAAAGACCATGGAGGGATTTGAAGACAAAAAGCAATATTTTATATTGGACCCTGAAAGTGATGGGCAGCCAATGAAGGGATTTTAGAACCGGAGTTATGTGCTGGCGCCTGTCGGTACGTGTGAGGAATCTAGCCGCTGCGTTTTGGACGAGTTGAAGTCTGGCAAGAGTTGACTTATTAACACCCAGCAATATTGCATTCGAATAGTCGAGCCTAGATGTGATGAAGGCATGAACAACTGATTCCAAATTTTTCCTAGATAAAACTGCTCTTAATTTAGACAGACGGCGGAGTTGGAAAAAACAGGATTTTACGGTTGCATTGACCTGGGCGTCCATCCTAAGAGATGAATCCAACTTTAAGCTGGTGTGTGTGTTCTGTGGCCTGAAACGGGTCCGTGTGAAAGCATTTGAACACTTTGGGTCGTGTGCTTTTAAGCTGCAGAAATACAAACCGAACGATTTCCTGAGCAAACTTATGCTTGTGTTTAATCAGAGAGCCAGCTGTGGTTATGCCCCAGAACAGCAGTCTTTACTGGGGGGCAGGCTTCATGGGTTTGAGCCACACTTCATTTGGCCGTGAGTTTGTGCTCCAAGCAAACTTAACGTTTTCATCATTGTCTGAGGAGTCGGCATCTTGGGTGTCATCAGATTGAGGTCTCTGTCACTTTCTTATTTTGGTCCTAATGGTCTTTGTTGCATTGGTCCTGTTCTGGTTGTCCTCTTCCTGTGCTGGCTTGACTGGTGCGTTGAGGACTTGTGACGGCTTCAACAACAAGTTCCTCCTGTTCCTCACTGAAGACCTACATGGGGCTCTTTCCTTAGCTTCTCTGCAGCTTTACAGTATCTGTACAGATGTTGGGGGCCTTGGTAACCCATCCCACAGATGTTCCGTGGGTGACCTCAGCTGCTTGTTTGACGTGCCCACTGCTGCTGTAAAGTTAGACCAGTATGAAAGTTCATGTGATCAGGGGGGAGGTTGTGACACGTTTTCAGATCTGTTACAACCCTCCTCATGCTAGGTTGTTATTTTAAAGCTAGCCAGTTTTAGCGTTTAGCTTCAAAGCTAGCACTTGTGTCAAATCAAACCACTGCTTGAGCTCATGTCAGTGAAACAACTGTATCAATAACACAACGTAACACTGCAAACGGTGTGAGATGAAAATTCTTATTTTGTGACCTAAAAGGATCTTTTTTTTTCAGTTTAGAGACGTGTGGCTTTACCCAAGCGCTCAATTTGCAAGTGGACATAAACTGTATTGATGATTGATGACATCACCATAGCTCACTTCTGATTGGTCAAACAGAGCGTTACAGCTATCCCTGAGATAGAACAGGCACTTTGTTACAAACAGAATCAGAAATGTGGGCATCTACAGGTCTAAAGCTCTATTATGGGATGGAGGTGGGAAGATCGAACTGGTACCAGACTCATGGATCCAG